AAAGACTGGATATGCACCTGTTCAATCCGTGGAAATTCTCAAACAAAATACAATAAGACTAAATATGCACTTGGAATATCCATGGCAATGCCAAACAGTTTCTACCAAAAATCACATGTGTTCACCAAGACAGAGCAAAACATAAAACTAACTTTCAACCCATCAAAACATATTCAGATGCTTTTTCTGACCCAAAGCACATGTGATAACCAAAACAGAGTAGAGCATTTTCGATATCTACATGACTTAAACTTTGCCAAGAATGCTTTCCTCTTAGTTCGAGACTTAAACCTAACTTTCCTTTGTTCAGAAGCTTCTAGAGGTTGAGATGCTTAAGGCTGAGACCAATTTGGTTCTTGAGACTGATATGGTTGTTCAAACTGAGAAGCTTGAGATGGTTGAACTGGTTGGTTGGGATGGTTAAGGAGTTTGGTTAGGATAAGAAAATGCTTGGTCATGATTGGTCTATTTTTAGCCTTTGATATGATTTGAAAATTGTGGCAGAGTTAGATAAACATAAGCAGGTACTGAAATAAACAAATTAAGAGTTCCATAATGCTACTTAAATAAAATAGACTCAACTTAGTGATTGTTTTTGCCTGAATTGTGTAGAAGATGATGCTTGTTTATACCTTGATTGTCTTGTAACTCTCATAGTTGATTTGTTGCCTTGAGGGGCCCTCTTCTTTTGCCTTTGTGATGGTACCTAACCTACAAACATCACATATGAATTCATATCTTAATTTGAACATACAGAACTTTTAAAATGAGATACATTGAATATACTTGGCTGCTACTCCCTACTTCATTTTCCCTTAGAGATTTCCTCATATTATGACCTACTTGATTACATATGGAACACTTGGTTTCCAAGTTATAACTTCGCAAGTTTTTAGCTTTAGGATTAGAGCTTGAAAGTGGTTCAGTAGCTTACCTAACCCCGTTTCTCTTTTGCCTCCATGATTGCTTGTGATACTTAGGTGGCAGCAAATGTGGGAAATTTATTTTAGCGATCATATCAGCTTGTCATTAGATGAACCATGGGTTTGAAAGCTCTCATAAATGCATCTTTTTTGTAACAATCATGAACATAGCTAATATAATCGCCATTTAACTACCCAATGACAACATAAGCATGCTTACATGGTTCTTAGTTAGATCCCATTGCCTGCATGAAAAACTTCTGTTTCTCAAATCAACTACCACCTGAGTGCCTCCAAAACACTTAACCTCATATTTACTCTCCCCTGCAAGCCTTGAAATGCACTAGGCTGACTGCTTCTTAAGCTTCTCAAAAGTTGCAAAAACTTTTGGCCCCATATCATGAGTCCATTTCTCCATAACTTCTACTTGCCATCAACAACATGATGTAATACTTGACCCTCGCAAGCATTGTCATTATAGGTTTATCTCTATCATCAATGATAGACTTTTTGAATGCCTCACTTATGTTATTCAAGAGAATGTCACACTTTGACTGTGTTCTGAATTGAGATCTACATCATTGCATTGGATCAAGCCTTATCAACCAATCAAAAGTTTGTCCTGACAAATCTTGGAGCTTTTTCATCTATGCTTGAAACCGAGGTATAGTTGCACTTCTTGCAACAGCCTGTATATGTTGTTTCAGCACTAATCCTCTGTAGCCAGCAAGTATAAAATTGGCATGTACATGTTTAAGTCAATGCCTATGCTCAGAGTTTGGGAACATATCACCCACTGCATTAATTAAGCCTTTTTGTCTATCTGTAATGAACACATACCCATTGCTATTTTTAATGCCGAGATCAACACCTAAGAGTTCCAAAAACCAAATCCAAGTTTCATAATTCTCAACCTCTGCCACTGCATAAGCTATTAGATACATGTCGTTGTTAGGATCAACACCAACATCAGAGAGTAATTGGACAGGGTGTTGCCCTTTGATGTGACAAGCTTCCAAACCTACAAATAGACTCAGAGCAGCAATAAACCCTTTCTTTGTAGTAGCCAAGCATATATAAATCCTATGAAATCTAGATTTTTCGCCCCCCAAATTGGACTTAATGATTACAGTATTTTCCACATTAGTCCTTTTTAGCTCCTCAACATAATCCCAAAGAGACTCAAGCGACTTTGTATAAGTCCCCTCACTTAAAGCACTTGCTTTTTTCCTTACTCTATATATTTGTGATCTTGAAGCTATGATACATAGATCGTCATTCACCACATCCTTAAAAGGTCCTACATCCCAATTTATTATTCTAGACAATTGTGTAGAATATCTCTCTACTAACAATGATGAGTTAGCATATACATTGCGTTCAACAATCCCACATGTGTGCTCCTCTTCATAACTCTTAATTTGAACCATGCTCCTTCCATTTATAGCTAAAGTATAAACAAACCATAGACATTTTCCATCCTCAATCCCAACACAAACTGCTCTAACCTTATCTTTATCTTTCTTGGAGAACCTAATTTTCCTTTTGTTAAATACTGAATAGTTTATCATCGCTTTCCTAAATACATAGACACTGAGAAATCTTATACTAATCTTAAAGATCAAGTTTGTCAAATCTGTGTCAGGCCTAAAATCATTAAACTTGGGCAGTTTCCTCTTCCTCTTTCTCACAAACCTATCAACCTCATCACATGAGCTACTATCCAAGCTATTAGCGTTACTTACAACCATATATTTGTCAAATGATTTATCATCCTTTTTCAGCAAACATTGTTCATCTTCACTTTATGTTAAAACAGGCCCTAGGCTCTAAAAGCCTACAGAGGGGGGATGAAGTAGGCTATATGGTAATAACCTATTTTTTTAAATTTTAAGCCCAGCTAAGAAATAATAAGCGGAAAAAATAAACACATGCACAACCATGGTGTTTAATTACTTAGCATCTGCAATGAGTAAACGAAACTAACTGCATGAAACTGGATTGATACATACGACACCACGTATTAATACAAATAGAAACCCTTGTGATTTTGGATCAATACAGTGCAACGCCATATTGATCCATGTTAGTGTACTGATGTCTTTTGAACAAGATGCAACAAGTACAACTAATGACAACAAGAATATAAACATACACAAAGATTTGTAACCCAGAAACCCAACAAGGGGGAAAACTAGGAGACCAAGCCAGTAAGAGAATCTACTATCAAAGAGAAGTACAAGATACAAAGGGAGTTGTGCTCCATCTACACTCAGTAGGTAGCAAACTATCTAACCTTCTAGCAAAGCACAATATTAGCTCATCTACACACAATAGGCAGCTAACTATCTAACCTTCCAGAAAAGCACAATCTTTACTTCTCAGCAGCAAGTTCTCTTCCAGTATTTGCATTCAGCTCCAATTGCAACAGACAAATCTTCATGGTTTGCAACAGCACAAAGCTCCAAGTTGCAGAAAGTATAATGATATCAAGTGAGTTGTGGTTTCAGATTTTCATCTTTATTAATCACAAAAAATGATTAAGCTAGACAAATGAAACCAAGTGTTGTGATGATTAAACTAGAAGTAATGAATTTGAAGCAAATAGTTTAAATCAACATAAAAACAATAAAACAAAAGACTCAGCCGAAATCAATGTGAATATACTTGGAGGAATTTTATGTGTATGCAATCATACTCATACTCTCAAGTAATTAACAATGGGTGAAACAATAAAATAGTTTTTGAATGCTCAAGAGCAGATATAAAATGATTTCAAAAACATAGAATCGGGTATGCATCAAAGATGCAGATTTTCTGTTTTTACATGTCTAGCATGAATAGTTCTTCAAAGAATTGATAAAAATGAAACAAGTTCAAATGAACTTTTCTGCCTCTTCCTTAGGTCTAGCTTAGTATATATAGAGATTTGATTCGAATGAAGAGGGGATATTTTGAACACAGAGAATCAGTCACCCAACCACATATAATATAAAGAATGTTGTTTGGTGGCTAAAATATCTGAAAGGGCAAGATTGCAGCAAACTCCGTTCCTATGGAGTGATATTGGAAAACCAGTATGCAAGTGTATCTCAATGAACAACCTATTTGTTGTCCAATAAGGAGCAACACACATTAAGCTACGCATGGTCTGTCCAAGACATGTTTGAAAGAGAATAGCTAAAAGTGATCTCAAGGTGGGCAGTTTCAAGAAGAATAGAAGAAATAAAATAGTTTTGAAAATCTTCTTGAGACAAGCTATTCGAATAAAGCACACAAGGCAAGGGATAAGGATAAATAACAGTAAAATGTCATGTGCTTTGTGAGCTGGAACAAATGAAGGAGCTGCAAGGTTTGACTAAAAATATTCAACGCAACCATAGAGATATTTATCTTTAGGTGGCTCAAGAAAAATAAAGAGGAACACAGGCTATAATAGCAGGTGAAATAGAGAGCCCATGTTTTGTCAAAAACATCATATGGAAAAATAACATAAAAGACTTCCCTTTAGAAAACTAGTTTCAAGAAAACAAATATTATATAATACTATGTTGTTTTCAAGAATACTAAGAGAGAGAATGGAAGGTTGGTTTGAAGGAAGACTCTTGCTTTTGAAAACTAGTTTCAAGAAGTTTAACTGACACCATAAGATATTTTAAGAAGTCTTCATTGATGAAATCAAGAGCTGAAGATATTTTAATAAAATATTAATTGATACAGCTCAAGGTCGATTGAAACATAATATGTAGGATTGATACATAATAAAGCAGAACACGTTTTTTAATGATTGTATCAATCCCCGTATATCAATCCATGTGTATGAATGCAAAGTAAAATATGGATTAAAACAAACTGGGAAGGATTGATACATAATGAAACAGAAAACGATTTTAAGGCTTGTATCAATCATATGTATTAACTCATGTGAATGTATGCAATGAATTTAAGTTTGGATTGCAAAGATGACACTTTTCAATCTAGCATGTGTGCATTCAAACAAACCTAAACCAATACATATATCTAGCAAAATACATTGGTTTTGTCATAACAGAAGAGCCAAAATATAATCCTTACACTTTACTCATAAGTACTGTCATAAAATTCAAGGTCTTTCTCATCTTCTTTAGTGTCTTCATTCTCATTTTCAGCCCTTTTGCCATTTTCACTCTCTTCATTTATATCCTTTTCATCACCCTCAACCTCCTCATTTATAGCCTCATTAACAACAATGTCATCACCCTCATCCTCCACATTTATAGCCTCTTCATAACCCTTATCCTCCACATTTATAGCCTCTTCATCATCCTCATCCTCCTCATAAATACCCTCATAACCGGATTGTTCATCACTCTCATCTTCTTGTTCAAATTCAGCAGTTAGGTTTCTTGCAATAGTGAAGGGAAAATTAGGTGTAAGGATTTCTAGAACCCCATGAATATATGAGAGAACAAATCATCTATCCTATGCATATCAAATATGAAATCATGCAAGTCTCAACTTAGGTCCCAATCTTTATAGGTCTATGAAAGTTTGCACATTTGACACTAATATCACATATTAAAGAGAATGTAGGAAGTGAGCTTAATTACCCTTAGAGCGAATCTTGAATCCAAGGATGGTATTCAAGTAGAGCGAATGGTCCCTTAGTTGTTGATTCTCCACCTTGTTCTCCAAATAGGCACAGTAAGGTTATGCCTCTCCAAAGTATGAGAATAGGAGAATAAGAAACCAAGAGGAGAAAATGGGTGCTAGCTTTTACTTCATCCATGGTGGCCGATCAAGGGAGACTAATGAAGAGGTTTGATGTTTTCCTCTCTTCCTAAATGCCTAACTTGAAACCCTAAGGAGGTGTTGTCATATGACTATGATTATATAGAGACATATTGTCACACATGTGCCTTTAGAGACCTTATGTACCGTACCTTCCTCTTCCTTGGCCTTTTTGGGCTACTTTGATCTATCACATTAATCTTATAATGTGTCACACTCTGCCTAAGTCTATGAGGTCCATTTTCCTATAAATGTTTAAGTCATATAGAACCAAAACTAAAGTTTCATAACTTCAATTAATTCATTAAGCTAATCTAATTAGTTTAATTGATTTAATGACTTAACGAATTAGATCACTAACTTGTCTAACAAGCATTGATCCTAGTCAATCTTGTGTTGACCACGTCAAGTCTCGGGTCAATGGTTTGACCTTTAACTTTGACTTTTGACCTTGACTTTCACTTTGACTTTGACCAAGCAGCAAAATCATTTATTCTCTTTTCAATTCTCGATTTATACCTTTTCGGTGTGCAACCTTATAGGTTCTTATTAGTGAGGCTGTGTGGTAGAATGATTATTTCTAAACCGAATGTAAATCGTATCCCTTTATACAATTCTTCCTATTGGTAAAAACTAACTGTAATTAGTCCTTACAGAGCTTCCATAAACCATGAGTGACACCTAGCAGTATGTCATGGCTACCCAAGCTAAATAAAATTCATTTTGAGAACAATGCAATACTCTATGTCTTGTTGTTGTTAGGATATGGTTAACTAGTGTCAAATCTCTAACGTGACATCTCTAGGTTATATGATTTACTTGGATGCAATTGCAAACGTTTCTGTTTCAATTCTTATATTGTACTTTGGCCAAAGATTCAACGAATCATATCTTTAGAGTATTCTCTCTTCTTACTAAGAGTAGAGATTTCATATTGTACATTCACATGCCTCTGTGCATATGATGAGTATCCTCAAGAACACCTTTAAGACACATCCTTTTGATACGACTGTATAGTGTTCTAAAAAATAAATAGCTCATACACAAGACAACTATGATGTCTCAGGTCTAAGGACTAATTTGCATTATTGCACTATAGAATTCTTTGTTTGACACTTGTGAGTAAGACTTGCATACAAGAATTCTTGAGTTGATCGCATTCAATGAACTCAATCTCTATAGAGCACCTACACACATGTCTCAATGTCTTTACACGAATGACTTGAGACTAGTCATCCTCCTATTTGAGCAGACATAGCATGTACCAGTCTTTGCAGTTCACCATTTTCCAATTGGTGATCCTATGACTAGGAACGTTTTAGGATATGATACTTCTATGATGGAAAGGTTTCATGAATCTAACTTCTTTAAACTGCTTTCCATTCATATCTTTATCCATGGATGTAACACCCCGACTCCAAGTAACTTTTTAATTTAAAGTATTTAATCTAATTAAATGTGAATTTACGGAATTACCCTTGGGGCAGGGTAGTTCGGTCATTTTCTTAATCCAGAGAGGAAGTTTGGGGCAGTGTTTGATATTTATTTTGGATTGATCGCTTTGAGGTGAGTCCGTGGACATGTGGCGGACTCGATTCGGAATGGTGACGAGGTTTCGGCGATCAAGTTTCCTTCGGTGGCAAAATCGTAATTAATTTGAGAAGGGATGAGGTTAAAAATCAGATTTTCTTTTTTTTCTTACGTTTTATCTATCTATCTATCTATCTATCTATCTATCTATCTCTCTCTCTCTCTCTCTCTCTCTCTCTCTCTCTCTCTCTCTCTCTCTCTC